ATTTGTGTGCATGTGAAGGAAGGAGCAAGGAAAGCAGGATAGGGAAGGGGTGGAGCGGAGCAGGGTGTGGGCTCAGGGAAGCTTAGCCTTGGCCTGAGCCCTATGGGGTGAGGGACCTTTAGATCATAAACCCTACCACAGAGCTGTCCCCACGGGAGGCAAGGGCATCAGGCTTTGAAACTCCCAAATCAGTTTGTGATTGGCTTCAGGTCACCTTGAGGACAGGAGAGCAGAAGGAGATGGTGGCTCCTGCCCAGTCAAGATCAATTCTCCAGGGGCAGCTATAAGCCATGAATTACCAACATTCACAGCAGCTGGAGAACGGGTGTCCCCAGAAACGGGGTGTGAGGAGGGCACCAATACCATCTACTGAACTTCAGAAATCAAGGGCAACTCTACCTCCAATCCCAAAGAAAAACCAGTTCAAAACCAGGTAACCCCCATACTTCTCAGACCAAGGTAGTTCCCATGTGCAGGCCAGTGGACCAGCCATAATCAACTCCCTCTAGGATTCTAGATTCCCCATTCCAGGGACTGCTACCGGGCGAGCATCCTGGGACCTGACTATTTTCATGGCAGTCCTCTTCATGTGTAGTGTTCCCAGAGGTCTCAAGTCCTGGCCCATTGAGCCAGACAAGGATGGAACACTATCTGATCAGCCTGAGGGCTCTGGAGGGGCCTGGATAACATTCCACTCATCTCACTCTTACCTTCATCCCACACACACTCTCCAGACCTCCACACTGCCCTCAGTACCACTCTCAGACCTCTCTACCAAGACCTTCTTGAAAACTCTTTGCTTAGCTTAGGCCCCTGCCATCTTTCTCTTCCATCTTCTGCTGGACCACATTGCTGCCACCTACTTCTCCTCATTCCCTCAAAGACTTGAAACCTACATGATCCTATTAACCAATGTCACCCCAATAAATGTAAGAGAGAGAGAGAGAGAACAGAAGGAAGGAAGAAAGAAGGGAAGGAAGGAAGGAAGGAAGGAAGGAAGGAAGGAAAAGAGAGAATGAAAAGACAACAGCCAACACAACATGAATGAATCAAGGTTAAGAAAGAAAGAAAGAAAGAAAGAAAGAAAGAAAGAAAGAAAGAAAGAAAGAAAGAAAGAAAGAAAGAAAGAAAAAGACTTGGGCGCATGACTCGGTCTTCTGGTATTCTCTCACAGCCCAGGGCCACGGCGACCACCTGTGTATCACTCTGTCCTTTTCATTCCATGCACTCCTATTCTCTCATGACCTCCTCCCCGACTCTATTTAGCTACCCACTCACAGGACCACACCCCAGACTTTGTCTTCACTCAGAACTGCTCCACTTCTAGAATCTTCCACTTAATTCAAATCGACACGTATTTATTGTCCACTTCTATGTGATAGGCCCCATGCTAGGTGCTGAGGATACGTCTGGGAAGAATCAAACACAATCCCTGACTGCATGGAGCTTTCATTTTATGAAAAGAAAAGCTCCTAAACTCCTGGTGTCCTGGGGAAGCACGGGGTGCTGGGAGCAGGAGGAAGGTGAATCCAACATCCAGAACATCCAGGCATCCAGGAAAAGATTCCCTGAGACCTCTTCAGCTGGCACCTAAAGAAAGAGGGGGATTTTGCCAAGCAAAGCAGGGAGGGGATTCCAGGCAGAAGGCCCAGCACATGAAAGGCCTAGAAAGGGAGAGTCTACCAAGCGAGGGGTCAGGCTGAAGAAGACAGAGGCTAGGTCATGCAGGGGTCTCTTTGTAAAGCCCTGTTAATGGTTTTGGACTTTACCCTAAGAACAATGAAAAGTCACTGGAGAGATTTGGCACAGAAGTAATATGGTCTACTCTGCAGTATCTGTGGTTAACGTGCAGAGAAAGGAGCCAGAGCAGGGATGGCTACATATTTGGGAACTGACACTAATAATCCAATTGAGAAACAACAGTGCCCCAAACTAGGGTGTGCACAGTGGGGATGCAAAGAAGTAGCTGGGTTTAAGAAATGTTTGCAAGATAGAATCAAAAAGATTTGGTGGTTGATTGGGTGTGGGGATCTGTTAGAGACAGAAATCAAAGTGACACCCAAGTTTCTGGCTCTGGGTGGTGGTGCCTTTACCCAGGGGAGGAGCAAGTTTCAGACAGGGTTGAGTCTGAGACACAAATAAGATCTCCTCTTTATCTCCTCTCATTCATGGGCCATCTCTGCCCTTGGCTCAATGTATCTCTTGACTATTAAGCTTATTATCATTCTTGATGACTTCACATCCAACACCTTGACCTCTCAGTTCCTTGACTTCCTTTCTTCTAACCATCTTTTTCTCCACCCATTGAACCCACCCACATGAGTGCTCACACCCTAGCCCTCTCCTGTACCAAGAGCTGCATCATCTCCTATCTATCCAGCTCACTCACTCTAACTCCCACTCCAGCAATCCCATCTGTTGACCCACCACTCTTCCACCAACCATCACTCCCTTCACATCCTCCCTTCCTTTCCCATCTTGAACTCTATAGGTCCCATGTAATTGCTGGTTGTAGATACGCTCCATCCCTTGCCTTTCAGTGCTTCTGTAGTTACTCACCAGGCAGGACCCTAACTCCAGTTAAGCCCAGCTCTCCATGTGGCACCCGTTTCAGAGACCTGGAGAATAACACAAGAGGACTGCGTGGTTTCCATGGAGACTTCTGACCACAAACCTCAAGTGGGAACTCAGCACCTCTAACAGATGCTACGTTTTCCTAACACTTTTAACACTATTCTCAAAGATGACCGTATCTCGCCTTCTCCTCTCCCAAAACCTCTAGCCCCCATTCTAATCTCCCATTTCAGCTGATAGCCAGGCATTATATGCCTCCAGGAAACAGAAGCAATAGGCAAGCACTAAGTTATCTCCCCACCCCCACCAAGTCTGTCAACCTCCTGGCATGAGCGCCCATTCACTCTGCCTTCTCCCTTATAACATGGATGAGGGGTCTCTCCTCTGGATACATCCCCTCTCTGCTTGGACCCTGGGCCCCATCACCTCTCACTTACTCTGGGCTGTTTCATAGTTGTTGCTTCACAACCCCTTCCTGTAAATATGCTGTTTTCCTCTCTCCCTTTTTTATGTTTTTATTTTTTTAATGGCCAGGCACACCCACCTCGTGGGGCCGGGTGGGGTGTCTCTGGAGCCCCAGGTGCTGCCCAGCCTTCACTTTCCCTTTTTTTTTTTTAAATCCCCTCTTAACACCACATCCTTCTCTAGCTACAGCCCCTTTTACCAAATAAATTAAAAATCAATAAATCCTCTACACTTGCTATCTCCACTTCCTCATCACATTTACCCATTCTAGTCAGGACTACTCTTTTTAAGGTCACCAATGGTCAATAAGTTGGCAAATCAAAATGGTCAGTTCTTCATCCACATCTTGCCGTTGGCTCCAGGCAGTACCCTCGCCTGGCTTTTTTTCTACCTCACCAATAGCTCTTTCTTGATCCTCATTGATGCCTCTCCTTCCTCTTGCTGATCTCTAAATGCAGGATGCCCCAGGGCCCAGTTCTCTACCCTCTTTTCCTCCCCCTATATATATATTTACCCCTCTGTGATCTTGTCCAGTATCATCTATAAAACCATCTATAAAGTGATTACTCCCACATTTATATGTTCAGACCCAACCACTCCCAGGAGTTTTACTCTCATGTATCCAAATTCCTATTGGTTATCCAAAACTGAACTCCTAAACCCCACAACAGAGAACAGGTTTATGTTGTCTCCCTGTCTTCCCCATCTTGGAAGATGACACCCCCACCCATCCAGCTGCTCAATTCAAAATCTGAGGTGTCTCTTTCTTTATAATTATATCCACCTTTAATTAGCACGTCATGTTGGATATAATTCCAGTATATGTTCAAAGTCCATTCCCTTCCTACCATCTCCCATGCTTCTATCCCAGGCCAAGCCACCTCATTGAACACCTGGATACCTGCCCCAGCTGGTTCC